CACCGGCCAGAGGTTAAACTTACTTCATAGTGATGTGCAGCAGAAAGTAGAACAGGAGAAAGACGACCATGATCAGCTCCTTGTCCTCCGTACGGCGTGGCTGCGACAATACCACTGCAATGGCGATGCGACGCACGAGATTCACCGTGGCCCACCACTGCCTGTCGACGCGGTACATGCAGCTGGCCTGGTCGATGAACCCCTTGAGGAACACCTTGCGCTTGGCGTGCGGCACCAGCAGCAGGATGGGCGGCGGCAGAATGATGAGCGCGATGATCAGCGCGGCTGCGACGGCGTACGGTATATGCGCGCCACGGTAGCACTGCACCGAGCCGTCCATGGCCAACACCAGCTTGCCGTCGAGCGTCGTGCAGCTGAGCACACTGATCGAGGTGAACGTCAGCATTGTGTAGCTGTAGACCAGGCCGAACCACATGACGCGCACCAGCTGCATGTGATTCTGCTGACGCTGCAGCAGCGCACCGCCGCGGCGGTACGAGCCCACCAGTCGCAAGAGGCACACAGATACGAGGAGCACGGCCGGCTGGATGAGCAGCACGAACGTGGCCTGGAGACGTGTGAGGCTGGGCACGGTGCACAGGTGACCTAGGCCGAAGGTCTGTAGCGACGGCATGAGACCAAAGTCGTCCGTCAGGTTGTAGGTTGCAGATGGCATGACCTGAAGAAGAAGAGAGAGAGAGAGAGAGAGAGAGAGAGAGAGTGAGAAAGAGAAGAAAGAGGGAGATAGATAGATAGAGAGAGAGAGAGAGAGAGAGAGAGAGAGAGAAGAAAGAGAGAGAGAGAGAGAGAGAGAGAGAAGAAAGAGGGAGATAGAGATTCAATGATGGGTAGACAAAGAAGGGGAAGGACAACTTATTAGAAAAAGTTCACAGTTCGTGCGGAGACTCGATTGAACTGAGTTTCCGAATCTGTTGGAATGGCATCGCCCTCGGCCTCAAGGATCAAGGCACATATACCTAAATAAATACATGTAAATAAAAATCAATTCAGCGGGTTCGCGTACCGGGCAGGTCAAGAACAAGGAGCCGTACAACTCCCTGGTCAAGAACCACCTTTCCGCTTCCGTGGGACGCCACCACCCCTTGATCAGGCGTCAGATGCGGCTCCTAAACGGTGGGGGAGGATAGATCAGATTCACCAACCAGAGGCCGAATGCCTAAATCCCATTTGCCACATCCATGTATTACTCATGCCAGGCCACGAGTTCCCAATTAACTGTGGGTCGCAGCACAGTTGGAAAAAATCATTCCGCTTCCAAGCAAGACTTGAACCTGGTGCCTCTCGCTTCTCAATCATGGTCTTAGACCAACCCACTGTGCCTGCCTGCACAGACACCTAGAACGAGGGAAATCCGGACAGACCAGGAAAGTAAGAGGGAGGCGTGCACGTGTATGTGTGTGTGTGTTTTGTGTGTGTGTGTGTGTGTGTGTGTGTGAGTTGCTGCCGATGGTTCCGTAGTAAGGGTGGGCTTGCAGTTCATCGCTGCCAGCCTGCACTCCCTGAACATGCAGATACGGCATTGACGGCGTCTCTCGCTAGTTGCTGCTTCCAGCATTGTCAACGCTGCAATCGCTGCTTCAAGTCCCGGGCTGGTTTTAACCGCCATAACTGCAACCGTGGAAAACGTCTTGCTGCAGCCGATAGGGAATCACTGCCGCTGATCTGCATGCATTGCCCGAAACGTTTCCGACGACAGCAAGATTTGACGAGGCACCAGAAGTCCTGCCAATGACGGTGCACTCCAAACTCTGGCCCCCTCCGGGGGTGACATTGCCCAATGGGCAGTCATGCTATAGTAGTAGTAGTGTGTGTGTGTGTGTGTGCCATCATCGCTTCCGCGATGGGCATGTCTGAGGTTTGAGGAAGTGTGTGTGCGTGTGTGTGTGTATGTATGTGTGTGTGTTGTTGTTGTTGTTGTTGTTTCTTTATTTTACTTCACCATATGAACAGGCAAGACTGCCTTCTCACCGGGGCTATTGGCCCACGGCTCTCACAATATGATAAAAATAGAATAATGTGTGTGTGTGTGTGTGTGTGTGTATGACGGTGTGTGTGTGTGTGTGTGTGTGTGTGTATGACGGTGTGTGTGTGTGTGTGCGTGTGCGTGTGCGTTCATCTAATCAGCTTAGGGATGCAGCTCACCTGGTAAAAGAAGAAGAAGGTGTCCAGGATGGGTGACATTCCCATGTTGAAATAGAACATGATGAGGAATGCCAGCAGGGTCAGCACCACGATGAGTGTGATGTAGATGTATAGTGATATGCTGGCGGAGACGCAGGAAGAGCAACGCTGCACGGTACACGTGACAGGTTCACGGGCAAGTTGTCAAGAATTCCCGCACGTGCCATCCTAATTCCCCCTTGTTAAAACTCAGCATTAGAGACTGGTGCAAGTCAAACCCAAACAGGTACTGCCAACTGCTTAGGTTCCAACATCATGGTTTTATGCAATTGATGATATGCCAAATAACGTGCAACTAGACTTGAGAGGGCATTGCAGAGTAGTTGCATACAAAGTTCAAAGTTGTACGGTTACCTGCGACTTCTGCTCCTGCAGAGTTCAGGGCCTACCATGTACACATTGTAGTATAATTTGTATGCAACTTGTGTGCGATGCCCTCTCAAGTCTAGTTGCACGTTATTTGGCATATCATCTATTGGCTTTGTGAAAGGACCCGTTTCCTAATTTCGCCTGGTAGAAGCATTAGAGACTGTTGCAATTCAAACCCAGATAGGCACTGTTGACTGCCTTGGTTCCTACGTCCTGGCTTTATGCAATTGGCTTTGTGAATAGACCCACTCTCCAGTGTGAATAGCCCCATAATCACGCGGTTAACTTTTGCAAGTAAAGCTACCGGTAATTGATTTCGTTGGGGAATACAGCGGCGGTTCAGAATTGTCTCCTTCCAGATTACTGACAAATGGAGGTCAACACAAACCGAACATCACATGGTCTATTTGAAATACATGCAGTATGTATGTTGTAGGTAGATGCAGCTCTATTAATTTAAACTTTATGCTCACCAGTGATGCAATCTTCAGGGAGAGTCCAGTTGCGCACTTCCCACACAGGGGTCCTGTGTGCCCCAGACGACAGCTTTCTCCGGGCGATGAGCTCAGTCGCCATTGCTCCGCCCGGCATGACTTGTGTAGGCACTGGGCAACCCCGAACCGGTGGCTGAAGAAGACCGTGGCCAAAGTGCTCCAAGCCCGCCGATCCTTTCCCAGGGGAATCTTATACACGCGGGTGTTTGTGATGGCCATGGCCGTCGGGTCCTTGAAGCTGTCTTCCGTGACAAATGTCGTGTTGATGTTTCCGGCCCAAAATCCAGCTGAAATGTCCAGTGATCGACCCCTGCGCTCACTGATCACTCCCGGCTGGCTCGATCGAGCGCAGACAGATATTTCCTGCGTGCGGTCATATACAGAGAAGGGACAGATCCGTTTCAGGTACGAACACCATGGCAAGTGAACAAGGATTGCATGCAGATACACGTGGAGAACATTGCACACGGACTGAGATGGGGGGGGGGCTACTATTCCCAAACTTCTCATACAGGTGATAGCACTGTTTCCTTCTTGTCCCCAGGACAAATTTATAGTAAAGAAAAAGGACCAAGAAACCACAAGTTACGCTATAATGTCCACTAACACCACCAGTTACTAAACAATCAGCTCCATTTTTGTCCTCAGGATATTAAATTTATTCATCCAGCAAGCAACCGTACTGCCCACCGTTCCCATATTTCATAACTACATCAAGTCCCTGACCATATACATGGCGTGGTGGCGTCCCAGGGGGAGCGGGTAGGCAGTCATTGACCAGCCATGTATATAGATCAGGTAAGAACATTTGAACTAGAACTTACAAATTGTTGCTCTCAAACATGTGGATCTATAGCTAACAGAAAAGTTGATCACCAGTGCAGGCTGGAGAAAGGTATTGGCCAGGATTACCCACACAGATACATGTAGTTTGGTGGAGCATTTATCATCCTGAGACATGCACAGTGAGTTGGTATAAGACCATTGTTGAGAAACAAGAGATACCAGGTTGAAGTCCTACTTGGAAGCAGAAGGATTGTTGTCCAGCCAATCTGCGACCCCCAGTGAATTGGGAACTTGTGGCCTGGCACGAGGAAAACATGGATGTGACAAATGGGATTTCGGCATTTTGCCTCTGGTCCGCGGATCTGATCTATCCTCCCCCACCGTTTAGGAGCCGCGTCATCCGACGCCTGATCATGGAGTGGTGGCATTCCACGGAAGGGGGAAGGTGGTTCTTGACCCGCCCTGTACACAAACGTGGTGATTGCCCTATCAAACATTTAATAATAATAAAAATAATAAACCTGTGCAATTGTTTTTGAATTTATCATCTACTAACCTTGCCGCTCGGCAGTTTCTTTTTCACCATCGCAAAGCCCAAGTGACAGGGACGCAAGCGCAATGGAATGGCGATGGTTAGGCTGCGGTCGCTCCAGCCAGACTTGCCGCTCGCGATGACCGTGACCGCTAGTCTACCAAACGTATGCGGTTCACCCGCCACCGCAAAGCCTGTCAGAGGTCTATTGCTGAGGTAGGACAGCTCGTCCACCGCTTCGTACTGCACTGCTGAAGCGCCACCGGATATGGAGAGAAGAGTGAGATCGCCAAACATTGAAAAGTCTATATGGCCGAAAGCCTGAAGCAGAAAGTAAGTGGAGGTGGAGGATCAAAAACACAGATGGATACTGGGAGACAGACACAAGTACTTCGAAGTAGATATAGAGACAAGTTGTCCACAGTTACTCATTATTGTTTTCTGATGATCGCTTAGTGCGATGAAACTCGGAGATAAAACACTTTTTTCATCCTCTTGTTATTGTTTTAGCTAGATGGATAGATAGATACCAGCTTCAGAATAAGAAGCACACACAACAAAAAGAGATAGATAGATAGATAGATAGAGAGAGAGAGGCAGAGAGAGAGAGACACGGAGAGACACGGAGAGAGAGACAGAGAGAGAGAGAGAGAGAGAGAGAGAGAGAGAGAGAGAGAGAGAGAGAGAGAGAGAGAGAGAGAGAGAGAGAGAGAGAGAGAGAGAGAGAGAGAGAGAGAGAGAGAGAGAGAGAGAGAGCCAGAGCCAGGGCCAGAGAGAAAGAGAGAGGGAGGGAGAGAGCCAGAGAGAGAGAGAGACACACACAGAGAAAGAGAGACAGAGACAGAGAGAGAGAGATAGATAGAGAGGTAGATAGAGAGAGACAGAGAAAAAAAGAGGGACAGGCAGGCAGACAGGAACACAGACAGACAGACAGACAGAGAGGTAAGGAGATAAGAGAGAGGAGAGAAATACAAGTAGGAGATAGGAGAGAAAGAGAGAGAGAGAGAGAGGGGGGGACCGAAACAGAGAACAGTGAAGAGAGAGAGAGAGAGAAGGGACCTTTCGCATTTGCTACGAATCGAATGCGAAACGATAGTTTGATTCGGCTCGTAATCGTGTCGTTGAAAACAGATTCAGGTTTCGCAAGTCGTCATGCAAATGTGCATATATATATATATTTTTTTTTTGAAAAACCACAAACCTTCAGACATGTGAATGTGCACATGATATACAGTGTACATACGTATGTATCGAGAAGGCAGCACGGAAACGGCAGTGGTGGTGAGGCCTGGGCAGCTCGTCCGACCGTGGGTCTCGGAGTCAACACTGGGCAGACGCACCGGGGGTGGGGGGTGGTAGCTTAGGAGATAAGGGATGGAGCCAGCATGATCATAGTATGTAATGCATATGCAGAAGTAATAAGGATGTTAATCTTAAAACAATAGTGCGGTCGACCTGCACAGAGGAAAGGCATCATGGACATGATCTACGTGTATAATATAATAATTAAAAGTGAGCTAGGGCACATCATACACACATATGCGCATGTTCAAATAGGAGATCAACCTGATAGGCGTACGCCGGCGTTGGGTAATCTTGAGATAAAGATATTAATACTATTGAAGAGATTATTATCATACGCTCACATAAGCACCACATACCAACCATGCGCACCCACCCACCCACCCACCCACACACACACCCACACACACACCCACACACACACACACCAACACACACACACACACACACACACACACACACACGCGCGTGCGCACACACACACACACATGCTCGCACGCACACACACATACACACACACACACACACACACATGGCAACTACGAATACGGCCGGTAGCTTGGCGGACGGGTGTTTATAGGGTATTCACACGACGTGAAAATGAACGAAAACACCCTCAAGTGCTCTTGCTGTTTTTACACGCCCGCAAAGCACAAACGTCGGCCTTGCACCCTCGATCAAGTTTATCAAGATTTTGCACGCGCTAGGGTCACACGAGTAAAAAGAGTACCACACACGTGAGTTTGCCCGTCGTGTGAATCCCCTATTACACTCACACGTGCATAGATCATGGAATCAAGGGAAAACATGTGTACCTATCAAAACATGTGCACCTGGCCAAATAAATGTGTACCTGACGGATTCGGAGCGCACCACGAATGAAGAGGCTTCCATTCGTGAAAACGACCTCTAACCAGGGACTCTGACGAATCCTCAAACCCAGGTGACGAATCAGCATTCGTTTCGTTTCCGTACTCGTGGTGCGAAAGGTCCCTAGAGAGAGAGAGGGGGGGGGGGGGGTGACCGAAACAGAGAATAGGGAAGAGAGACAGTGAAAGGGTATTAATGTCTTACGGGTGTTGCTGTTAACCTGGATACCCGCAACTTGAGTGGCAGGGAACGCTTCGACAGACCATCGTCCAGGATATCAAGTTGAAGAGTGATATGTTCGCCCGGTGCTGGCATCAACATGATGCTACCCCTGACATCATCAACAGTGCTGTAAGACGAGCAGTAGATCAGACTCCGTGCTAGGTAGGCCCATGGTGTGTAGACGAATGGCAACCCGATAACGGCATTGCTCAGGCTCATGTCAGGCTTACCGCGTTGCTGATGACCCTTGCCGATTGATTCAGCTACGCTCTCAAGGGTCTCGTCTCTGATTTGTGAGCCACTGCATCTGTATGGTGTCATGAAAAGTCAGAACATTAATATTTGATTTTGAAACTCGGATGTTGAGCCAATAATAAAATTCACAAAAAGTAAAAAGAACTTAGAAGTTGCGACTTCGGCGGTAATAGTCTTGAAGTTGATTGTCCCAACTAGAAACACACGCTTCTTGCCGAACTTGACACTTGACTGACTCACGACTGCCATCCGGAGCACACGAGGAGCACGTCCCACCTTCCACTCGGCAAACCTGCAAGAAAGCACCACTCCCTGCTCAATACACAGTGTTTCGGGGAATTCACCCCTCATCAGTTGAGCTTGAGTAGGCTGAGGAAGATTGTGCCTGAAAAGCACCCCTTATATAGTGATGAGGGGTGAATTCCCCGAAACACTGTGTATTGAGCACGGAGTGGTGCTTTCTTGCAGGTTTGCCGAGTGGAAGGCGGGACGTGCTCCTCGTGTTCTCCGGATGGCAGTCGTGAGTCAGTCAAGTGTAAAGTTCGGCAAGAAGCGTGTGTTCCTTGTTGGAACAATCAACTTCAAAAACGTAAAAAGGACCAAGGAACTACAAGTTACACTTAAATGTCCACTAACACCACCAGTTACTAAACAATCAGCTCATGCGATAACATTGCACGACAATGACCGACGATGCTGATGTTCTACAACTACTGAACTGGCTAAGAGCTTTAGCACATCTTAGATGCGCACTCCAACAGCCTTCCAACGTCAGCACCGCCGGCCAGTGTCGTGCAATGTTATCGCATGAGCTGATTGTTTAGTAACTGGTGGTATCAGTGGACATTATAGCGTAACTTGTAGTTCCTTGGTCCTTTTTACTTTTTATAAATTAATCCTTGGCTCTGCATCCAAGTCTAATATTAAAATGTAGAAAGGAAACGGACATATGGATACAAATTAAGAATAACTGGCCACCACTGTAACTACGAAGTAGATACTATATACATGTACAGTCAGAAAGTGCATAAACTAGGCACAAAACTGACAGAGTACTGAGACATTCGACGACCTGACAAGTAGCTTCAGCACATCTCTGTAGTGCTAACCAACAGCCTTCCAACTCGGAAGATTCAAGGTTAAGGAGAGACCAACGAAGGGAAAGTAAGCGCAAGGAAAAACGCACAAGCTACAGGCCCATGGGAACAGAGAATGTTGATTGTAACTGGACGATGACGAGACCAGTAAGATACTTGACAAAGCGGTCTAACTACAATTCGAAGCAGCAAAGCAACACACCACCCAACTTGGGTGGCTCAGGAAATTAATATCAATAATAAGTACAGAAGGGAGAAGCTTTGTGAAACGATTTGTACAAAACCCAACGCCAAACTCCTGCAGTACTCTTCATGCATGACATTGTGATGGACTAGTTGACTACAAAACAAGTAGTTTCACACGACGTACGTTTCGCCGTCTGGTTGGTTCGTGACGGCTCATCAGGTTTGCAAATTGTTTTCGCAAATTGAAAATGTCCCTTTCCTTTCTACATACATAAAAAAATAACTACGAAAGTGGTGGACATCACGCAACTGCATCATAAAGAAAAAGGGGTTTGTCAACTGACAACCGCTCTATAGCAATTGAATAGAGCGGTTGTCAGTTGAAAAACCCCTTTACTTGTCCTTATTAATATTTTAAATATATTAACATTTTTAAGACTCGGGCGGGAGCCAAGGATTAGTTTATACGAAGAAAAGAGGGCCAAAGAGCTACAAGTTACGCTATAATATCCACTAACACCACCAATTACTTTACAATCAGTGGAGTGGGCATTCGAGATGTGCTAGAGCTGATTGCCAGTTAGGTGTAGAACGTCAGTACCGCTGGTCAGTGTCGTGCAACGTTATCCCATGAGCTGATTGTAAACTCGATGTCCCCCCCCCCCCCCCAGCCTCTGAAATATTTCTCTCCTATTGTTTGCCCCTCAGTATCAGAGCTCTCATTGTCCATCTCAGACCAGATTCCACCTACCCCTTCCCCATCATCAAATATTTTCTGCTTTTAAACCCCCTCGTGCGTCTTGGCACCTTCATTCACTTCCTTGTTATTGAGGACCTCGGCTCGTTTGATCACTGCGAATTAAAATAAAATCAAACAACAACAAAGTAACTGGTGGTGTTAGTGGATATTGTAGCATAACTTGTAGCTCTTTGGTCCTCTTTTTTTCTTATGAAATAATATTTTCTTCTTGTTTAGTGCTTACTGATTGCTGCTGTTCCTAACTATAGTTAAATGAAGTGGTTTACTGCTAACAGTTAGTCCTGGACTGCAAGTACTAGTGTACAGTCAGTAGGGAGGTTTAGTCCCACGTAATCCGTGGGTACTTTACGTGTGTGTACCACGTGATACTCAGTGACCCACGTACAGACGTTTTCTGATTCACGACATACCGTGTATGGAGGCTCACCCACGTTCCGCCAAAACGTGGGTGAAAATCAGAATGGAGCGCATTGTGCGAGCTGTGAGGGTGCTCAGCTGAAGAAGTTTCCGAAGCACGAAATCAAAATATTGGATGAGCTTGGTAGGCCCGGGTAGCTTCGTCTTTGACCAGGTTTGGGCCTTTCGCTTTATGCTTTTGTTTGTTCCGTGTGACTAAACACAACATTGCAACGTGGGTGCCCTTCATCCACTTTACGTGGATCACCCACGTACGCGTTTCCGTTACGTGGGAACTAAACCTCCCTAGTTGCCAAAGTTTGTGCCGTACATGACTCTGGCTCCGACACAGTTTTGATCCCAGCATCCTCTCGCTCCTTCTTGCAAGTATTCTCACAAACTACAGCATACGCTAGTGCAATACCAGCCTTTTACATGAGCGTGTCTTGTGGTGAACTTCCAGCCTGACACTTCCTCAGTACTTACCCAAGCTCACTGCACAGCTGGTGCAAGTGATGGCGCTTGCACTGCTCCAGAACGTACACCGAGCCGTCGATGACTTTCATGCACTGCGACGAAGCCGCCTTGAACAGCATCCACCTCGGCTCTGTTGTGACGAGCTGGTCGACGGAGCCGAGAGAGTCGAAAGCCACGACGTATTTCCCGTTCTTGGTGCACAGCGCATAGCTGGACGTCGACGCATTGTCCTGTTTTGAGCTTGCCGTGTTAACTAGACCATGCATGCTGTACATGCTGCAGATATTACTCGTATTACGGATAGCCGTATGGAGGGGGCTGCTTGGAAGAAATGTGTATGTCGGCGATTGCTGCCCAACACAGGTCCGCTCTCCCCTGGGTAGGTTGGCGAGAGTTGATCTTTCTGCGTCCTGAAACACAGCAAAGTGATGCGGTTCTGTTGTGGTCAACCACACGGAGAACAAAGTTAGACATCTGGATGGCAAAACAAGCTGTTGCCGGAACCTGGAATTTCACGATGAATTCGAACGTAGCTCCGTGGTGGGAAACTGGAGTCACAATAAAAAGCCGACCTCTCTGTTTCCAAGGAAGCCCTGCTCAGTGTGGTGGCATTGAGTATGGTGTAGCACTGTGAAAATGATTTTTTTACGGTGAAAACGATAGTTTTACTGTGGACTACAGTACAGTCAGCCCTGGGAATACCGACCCTCGATTACGCATGAATAAAGTGTGGTTATTCGCGAGCTGTCGTTGTGATTATGGGAGGTTGAAAGTATGCAGATCAATGGACATTATAGGTCTGGCTCTTGTGGCGTTAATTGCGAGTTTCTGTTATGCTCCAGGTCCCCATTCACGAGTTTTACGGTTCTTACAGCTCACCAGATCGGCAGAGTCATCAATGCCCCACCATCACTGCTGCGTCTCGGTGCAGCGCCTGCTCATTAGTTGTCACGTTTGTCCTAGTCTCTGTACCATTGTCTTTCCTTATTCTTTTCGAGCTGGTTATGTGAACATAGGAAAAAAACCCAGGAACTGTAGATACACACATTTTCGATGCATTCAACTTTCCGGCTCCCATTTCAGCCTGTACAATGACCAGAAGGCCTCAAAGTATACAATCAAAAATTGCCAAGATGTTGTTCAAGAGGGTAGTGGCGTTCCTGGGGATGCAGAAATCTCTGCATTTAGCCGAGTCTCAAACGAACCGTGACTTTTTTGACTTTTTATTCAAGAGCCTGAAGCATGTCCTTGTTCTCAGCACTGTATTATAAAAACACAAGAATGTGGGTTTCTAGAAGAAGCGTCCTGGGGAGGAGAAAGTACAGCTTACCATACCACCATACCCTGAACTCGGCGAGTGATCCGAGTAGAGACTTTCATGCAGCGTGGAGTATGTGTCGTCGATGACCACCTGCAAGCCACGCAATGACTCATATGTGCGTGGTGTGCTGCTGTTCGACGATTCAGCTCTGAAGTCTGCCACCTAAATATGGCAAAGGAGAGGGGACACATACCGCAGTGACTTGTTTTAAAGCCTGTCTCATAATTATTATAGAAGCCTGTTCTGAATAGAAGCCTGATTTTCTAGATACACTGTCGGCACATAAGCCTGGTTTTCGTGTTGACATACATAGAAATACCTGTCTTGTATAGTAGCCAGTCGCATGTAGAAGCCTGCAAAATTTCCCCAGAAAAGTCACAATATTATAAGCTGCGGCTTATAACATGACTTTACGGTAGATACAAATAGAGTAACACCTGATTTAAGCGACCACCCCGCGGTGCAAGCCAAAGCGGTCGCTAAAGCCAGGTGGTCTTTAGAACCAGGTTCCATACATTCGTGGCATATCGGATCGTGTACGTACATGTGCATGATTGTCCTTCATGCACTTGCTTCAGAGCACACCTCAACCCCGTTGCAGTCAGCCCTGCCAGCCTAGATGGCACTTTTGGCTGGTTTTGGTCGCTGTGTGCAGGTACAATATGGCAATTGGTACACAAAAATTCGGTCGCTGGTCGCGCAAGGCAGGTGGTCGCTGTATCCAGTGCATTTTCTGTGTAGAACTGTGCGTGCATGGAAAAACGGCCGTTAAAAGTAGGTGGTCCCTAAAACCAGAGGTCGCTTACACCAGGTTTTACTGTATATGAAGAATCGCATTTAAAGTTCCCAGTAAAAAGGCAACATTGCCTGTTGGAAAATCCCTAACAAATTTAGAAAAGTAGAAAGGAAAAGGACATATGGAAACGAGTTATGACTATCCACCACTGTAACTAGATACTATATACAGTCAGAAAGTGCAACAACTAGGCACAAAACTGACAGAGTAATGAGACATTCGACGTCCTGACACCTAGCTTCAACACATGTCCGTAGCGCTAACCGACACAACTCGTTTCCATATGTCCTTTTCCTTTCTACTTCTATTATTGGCTCAATACCCGAGTTTTAAAATAAGAAAGAATAAATAATAATAATAACGTTATCGTGAACCCGATTTGAGATGTCTATGTAAAGATGCGCATATATCGATGCATGTTCTTTCCATTGCACAAACATCGTTAAACTTTCTGCACGTTATCATGCCAAAGTTAAAAATCGTTAAACTTTCTGCACGTTATCATGGCAAAGTTAAAAAAATCGTTAAACTTTCTGGTTTTACAGTCCTACTTTGGCCTTTGGCCTCTGGTTGGTGGATCTGATCTATCTTCCCCACCATTTAGGAGCCGCATCTGACGCCTGATCATGGGGTGGTGGCGTCCCACGGAAGCGGAAAGGTGGTTATTGACCAGGGAGTTGTACGACTCCTTGTTCTTGACCTTCCCCCTACGTCGAATTTTTTTTCTTCATATCCTGTGTCTCCGCAGCTTGAGCCATGCAACACATGAGCATGTGACCACATCCTGACCACTCCCACCCTTTCTAGCTCCTCTTGCGCTTTGCTGCAGCTACCCTGTTCCAGTAGTGGTACCCACATATTGATTTGATGATTATTTTGATTTCAAACTTCACATTTTAAAATCATTCCTGCTCTGGTCCTTGTCTGAAAAGTGGCGAAACGAATCTTCCCAAATTGTACAATATACTGTTGAGATACCGAATTCAAGTAAATCAATACCAAATACCAATACTAACCTGCTTCAGAACTTGTTGTCGCCGACGCGGATACCTGGGAAAGGCCAGCGTGTAGAGGCCAGATAGCACCCCATCGTACACAATGCGGCCACGATCGGCAATGAAGGGGACGTACTGCTGTGCACTCGGCGTTCTCATAGAGCTGAAACAAACAGCCAAGAAACAACAGACACAGTACTTTCAGCCTTGCGAGCCACGACCCTCGATTGGTCAACACGAGAAAAGTGTTGTTATTCGAGAGGTTGAAAGTACACGAGTACCCAAGTGGTCTCTTGGCCTGAAGACAGTGTTGTTATTCGCGATGTTACAAGTATGCAGTCAAGTGGTCTCTTGGCCTGAAGACAGTGTTGCTATCCGCGATGTTGCAAGTACATGTATGCAGTCAAGTGGTCACTCGATCTGAAGACAGCGTTGTTATTCGCTAATTGTTGTTACCGGTATTATGGTTGTCTATTCATGAGTTGTTGACTGGACCGGAGTCATGCAATACTGATGTTAACTACTAGTACATCATGCGCAAGAGCACACATGCCTGCCAAGATGAGAAACAGCAAATTCTTGGCATATCAAAAAAGTATTCTTTCTAGACCAAAGAGTGGTATATTTGATAAAATTTAATAACGATAGAAATATTTACGATACTTCTCCAGACGTTTCGTTGTTCTGAACAACATCGTCAGTGGATAAAGACTCTTCTTTATCCACTGACGATGTTGTTCAGAACAACGAAACGTCTGGAGAAGTATCGTAAATATTTCTATCGTTATTAAATGTTATCAAATATACCACTCTTTGGTCTAGAAAGAATACTTTTTTGATATTACAATGAGAGTGGATAATCAAAGGCTTGTCCACCAACTCTTAAACTCTTGGCACACGCGACCAAATGCGTATCCTATACAGTCATACAATTGGAGTTCTGATACGTATGCCAATATGGACTTGATACAGTTCTGCATTACATGCCCTATGCTAATCTTTCTCCTGTGTAAGGTCGCACAACTTAAAGAAGGTAAGAACAATTGAGCACTGGCTACTTATGAATCCAGGAGACCGCTGGGGGAGGGGTACGGTAATGAGATCTTAGAAAGGTTTTCTATGATATTTGTTCAGTAAAACCTGGTTTAAGCGACTTCTCATTTTAGCGACCATCTGCTCTTAACGGGCAGTTCTACACACACACTGCGGGACCTGGTTCTAAAGAACACCTGTCTTTAACGACCGCTTTTCCTTGCGCCGTGGGATGGTCGCTTAAACCAGGTTTTACTTGTAAAAAACAGTTGAAGATGTGGGTGGTGCTGTGCAGTTTACTGAACCTGCAGCCATTGGTCATTTGCAGTACTAAAGGAGTCATCCTTCAGGACGATGACACAGCGTCCTCCTTTCGAAGAAGCAGTTTCGAACAACTTTAAATTTCCTTCGTCATGTTCGCTATAACTGAGGTACCGATCCAAAAGTCGAAATTGGGACAAGAAAACACGATCGCTGGTCTTGCTCAGTTGGTAGTTGATAGTCACAGGGCATTCTAAATGTGAGAGATTCTGAAGTAACCTTAGTCGGTAGTGGCAGGTGGGTCACCTGGGCGCATTACAACTACCCTCGTCCATCATCTCCTTCTTGTTTTATTTTATTTTATTTTTCTTTCTCGTGGCTCTCTCTCTCTCTCTCTCTCTCTCTCTCTCTCTCTCTCTCTCTCTCTCTCTCCGTCTCTCTTTCTTTCTCACTTGATCTCCCTCCCTCCCTAGCTGCATTCCTATTGATGCCTGGTCGTAGGCTATGATTCCGAGACCTCCGGTCGGATGAGCCTCGCCAGCCACATCGGCACATCGCCCCTACTCCCCATTGTCTTGTTGTCCAGGGTCGTTTCAGTTGCCCTCTTCCCCTGATTATTAATAGTAGGGCTGTGTTTTCTAATAAAAAAATTAAAAAATTCCAATTTAGTTGCATGTAGGGTGCTGAAGCTATTTTTAAATATTTTAATATTTTGTATCTGTATTTGTGCAAGAATGGAGCTGGATGGAGAGCCAAGGATATATTTATAGAAAAGAAAAAGGACCAAGGAACTGTACAAGTTTTGCTATAATGCCCACTACACCACCAGGTACTAAACAATCAGCTCGTGCGATAAAATTGCATGGTACTGACTGACTGATCAGATCTTTGAGCCACACAAGTTGGGTGGAATGTTGCTTTGTGTCCTCGAATTATGGTTTGACCGTATTGTCCAATGGTCTTGCCAGTATTGTCAACGACATGCATGAACACCCGCAAATGTCCTTCACAGCTGAGACTTTCAGCTCGTGCTTGCCTTGGTTGCGCTTACCATAACCTCTTATGTCATCATTACTTAGAACCTTCCAAGTCGGAAGACTGTTGGAGTGCGCATCTAAAATGTGCTAGAGCTGTTAGCCAGTTAGGTGTAGAACGTCAGTACCGTCCGTCAGTGTCGTGCAATTGTATCGCATGAGCTGATTGCTTAGTAACTGGTGGTGTTAGTGGACATTATAGCGTGACTTGTAGTTTCTTGATCCTTTTTTCCTTTGCTATAAAAATTAATAAAACCGGCAGTATATAATATATATTATACCATGCGGGCAGCATGGGTGCAGCAGTGAGTAAGGTTATTTTCCTCACTTTGCGATGGGTTTGATCGTTGCAGGGAGAACTGAGAGAGGGAGAAAAACAAGGGGGAGGGGAAGAACGGAGAAAGAAAGAGGGAGAGAGAGAGAGAGAGAGAGAGAGAGAGAGAGAGAGAGAGAGAGAGAGAGAGAGAGAGAGAGAGAGAGAGAGAGAGAGAGAGAGAGAGAGAGAGAGAGAGAGAGAGAGAGAGAGAGAGAGAGAGAGAGAGAGAGAAAGAGAGAGAGAGAGAGAGAGAGAGAGAGAGAGAGAGAGAGAGAGAGAGAGCGAAAGAGAGAGAGGGAGGGAGGGAGAATAACAGAGACAGAGAGACATAGGGAGGGAGACAGACTGACAGGGAGACTTCCGAATTGCGATACGCTCCGCTCTCACCTTTGTACGGTTGTGTTCCCCATGAACAGCAAGTCCGCTCGGTCCGTCTTGGCCGAAGCTCTTGTACTCCTGCCGCTGAACACACAGCTTGAGAGCACAATTGGAGTCCGCAGTGGACCTTGCACATGGATCCAAACCGGATCATCTTTCGCATATAGGCATGGCATTGCAGTGACGGCATCGATTTTCGGCCGGCCTCCATCCAGGAACACGCACCGGTCAAATGTGATGGTGGTGTTGGTATCTAGGGTTAGATCTTCGCTCAGAGGCACCAACTTGAACACCACTTGGGGCCCCGAATAGGTTTTGGTGTTGGTCTCGAATGAACTCTGCCGGATGGTGTGAACCATCCAACTCGGTACAATGTTTTGTAGCGGCCAATCTATGCTCAAACAGCCATTCTCACACGCCGTGTTGCTAAAATGGGAGTGGTCGATGAGAACATTGAAGTTAAACCTGTCTATGTTGGTCAAGAGAAAAAAAAACAAAGGTTTGGGGCTGTGCCTTACTCGAAAGATACTGCCTGTACAGGAAATATTCGCAAAAATCGTGCTTTGAATTGTCACGTTTGTGACTACGAGGGGATTGGGGATGCGTTGATCGGGCTGAGGCCCATACGGTGCATATGCTCCGGCTAAGCAGTAAGGTGAAAGAGTTGCAACAGACCCATTGATGTGCGAAAAGTTACTGAAAACGCAGTCACGGATAAGCAAGGTGGTGGTTTGCTGATAGTACACCAGGATGACACTGTCTGTGGAGATACGGTAGCCGGGCTCAGTGGAAGTGCGAGCCGTCTCAGGCACATAGACCGCGCTCTTGAACACGCAACCCATGAACTCCGCGCGGTGCGACCGTGATGAATCAGGCCATGTAAACACTGCTCTGGTATCTGAGTGCAACGTGAACGTACAGTGCACGAACGTCACATTGAACCCCGATGAAAACAAGTAAACGCTGCCTTTGAGGCTGGTGTGGGTCTTGAACGCTACATCGGAGATCCGGAGAGAGCTCTGAAGATCCATGATCCGATGGTGCTTGTGCTGATGTGTGCGGACTTGAATTTTCGATGTCCATTTGAAGAGTAGCGTGGCCGTAGAACAGCCGCTGGCGTTGGTCGAAAACATCTGCAAAGGTTCGCTGGCATGTCCGCTTAGTTGCGCATCGTTCGAATAGAACACATCCGCAACAACCACCTGGCAGTTTGACTGCTGGCTGACTGCCAGAGCAATGCAGGCTATTGAGATGTTGGCCCTGCAGGACGACTGGCGATGAAGCCAGCTGCGCATACGCAATGCGGACCGCAGGTCGAAGCAGGCGCTGTCTGCGTTCCAGCCGCAAAGTTCCACTGGGTTTCCGTCGCTGTCCTCGCCATATTCAAAGACAGTGGCGGTGGTCCGATTAGGAGGGGAG